TGGCCTTCCTCGGTGGAAGGTGTGACATTTGACTAGTGCGCCTTGTCTTTTCAGCCTGGACGCAATTGCGGGAAGAGGTGTTTTCGGGCGGTTTCCGAGTTCTTGCTCCGCATTGGGCCTGCAGAGTTGAGCCCGGCTCGGGTCTCACGCCCTGGTGGTATCGACCTTGGATCTCGTCAGCTCCTCACCTCCTCCCTCCTTGCACAGTCTGTCGGGCCCCAAGATGCCTGGCGTCTCAGCCCGTGGCCTCTCGCATGAGGAGAGGAGACAGCTGGCTGTGAACCTCACCCGCGTCCTGGCGCTCTACCGTTCCATCCTGGACGCCTACATCATCGTGAGGCCCCTGGGCTGAGGGCGGGCGCTTCTGGTGGGGGTGGGGGTGGTTAGGAAGCTACTACAGAGGGAATCTGCAGACAGCTTTTATCTCTTCGGAGCTTCAGCCTGTACAGGAAAGCTGATGACTAGAATAATTCCTCCCCCAGCCTTATCTCTCTAATACTTCATTTGTTTTGTAACCTCCAAAACCAGCATTTGGGCTGTGCTGCAATTGCGTTGACCTTTCCTAGAAACATACGAGATGTTCCCGAGCATATATGTTCAGGCTTTGAATACATTTCTGGTTTCGTGGTGTGTCGAGCAGTTGAGCTTTGCTATCGGACAGAACTGAACTAGAATGTTGCCTCTACTGTTGACATTGAACTTTTTCTTCCCCCTTTCATTCCTACCCCGGTTTTCTTAACTATAAAATCGACCCCTAACTGGGGGATGTCGGGGAGGGGAATGAGATAACATTTCCATGTCACCATCTTCAGAATTTCTCAAGCCACCATGCATTTATTAACCCACAATCTTGCCTCTACCTTCCCAATGCATTGGAAAGTCTTTCCCCTTTACCCCCCTCCCCCGCCCCCGTTATTTCGGAGACAGGGTTTTACTCTGTTTCGGACTAGTCTGAACCCTTGGTGATCCTCCAGCTTCAGCCTCCTAAATATTGAGATTACAAGAATGAGGCACCACACCCAGCCAACAATATAACTTCTCATTGTAAAACTTTGTTCTTTTCTTGGGGAGGGGGGTTGGTTTTTCAAGATAGATCTTGCTGACCTGGAACTCACTCTGTAGACCAGGCTGGCCTCAAACTCAAGAGATCCATCTGCCTCTGCCTCCGGAGTGCTGGGATTAAATGTGTGTGCCAACACTGCATGGCACAACCTTGCTTCTTAAATATTTTATTTATGTGCACATATATGTGGGTGCCCAATGAGGAGGCCAGGATATTGGGTCTGGAGTCTTTTTTTCCTCAGCAAGAGCAGCAAGTTCTCTTAATTCCTGGACTATTTCTCCACACCTTCTTGCTTCTTAGGTGCTTTGATGGGATGCTGACCCCTTGCCATTATCTACATGATACAGTGTCTGCTGCCTCTCTGTCTCCATCAATTTTTTTTTTTCTCTTCCCACTTTGACTACCTTGCAGTCATTGAGCTGTCTGGAATGGCCCTCCACTAAAAGGCAATGAAAACTGTATTGATGAAGAGGAAGTACTTGTCCAGATGAGGTGCACACTTGTAATCCTAGCCCCTGAGAACTAGATTCAGGTGAATCAGGAGTCCATCTTCACCTGGGCTACAAAACAAGTTCCAGCCAGGCGGTGGTGGTACACACCTCTAATCCCAGCACTTGGAGGACAGAGGCAGGTGGATCTCTACGAGTTCCAGGCCAGCCTGGTCTACAAAGCTGCACAGAGAAACCCTGTCTTGAAAAACAAACAAACAAAAGTTCCAGACCACCCTGGACTGGACTATTTTACTTAAAAAAAAAAGGGGGGGCTGGAGAGATGGCTCAGAGGTTAAGAGCACTGGTTGCTCTTCCAGAGGTCCTGAGTTCAATTCCCAGCACCTACATGGTGGCTCACAACCATCCTTAATGAGATCTGGTGCCCTCTTCTGACCTGCAGGGATACATGAGGAGGAATGATGTATGCATAAAAGCAGGCCAGCCATGCATAATGGTCCCTGCCTGTAATCCTACCCCTCAGAAGACAGAGGCAGGTGAATTGCCTTGATTTTTTTTCAGCCAGTTGAGATTCCTCTCATTCCCCCCCTCCCCAAACACACAGAAAAGCTTGTTGATGGGGAGCTGTGACTTTACAGCAGTGATTCTCAACCTTCCTAATGCTGTGATACTTTAATACAGTTCCTCAAGTTGTGGTGGCCCCAACCATAAGATGATTTCATTGCTACTTCATAACTGTAAATTTGCAACTGTAATCGTAATATAATCGTAGTATAAATATCTGATGTGCCGGAAATCTGATATGTGACTCCCAAAGGGCTTGAAACCCACAGGTTGAGGATGCTGCTCTTGAGTAAATACTAATCTAGGGCCAGAGAGATGGCACTGTGGTTAAAAGCATGTACTGTGTTAGTCAGTGGTGACACACGCCTTTAGCCCAGCATTTGGGAGGCGGAGGCTAGTAGATCTCTGATTTCAAGGCTAGCCTGGTCCACAATATGAGTTCCAGGACAGCCAGGACTGTTATACAGAGAAACCCTGTCTTGAAAAACAAACAAAAAAAGCATGTACTGCTTTTTCAGAGGACCAGTTCTGTACCCAGCACCCATATAACTGGTGGCTCCCAGCCATCTTTAACTCCACTTCCAGGGATTTTGATACCTCTCTTTTTTTCCATGGGCATGCCCATCCACAGATGACATACACATGATAATAAATGTATTTTTTTAAATTTTTGCCTAGATTGTATGAAGCCCTGAGTTAAATCCCTAATTACTGCCATTTTTTTTTTAATTGAAGGGTTTGTGGTGGTACACCACTTTAATTGCAGAGCTTGGATTGCAGAGGCAGGAAGTCTCTTTAAGTTCCAAGCTATGAGGGGCTACATAGTAAGACTAGTCTCAATTAAAAAAAAAAATCCTCTAAAGTAAAAAAGTAAATGAATTGCTTGCTTAAGTGTTTTCAGAATAGTGAAAATATATGTGTATTTACTTTTGCTTGTATTTTCTTTACATGATAACTTTGAACTGAAGTGTCAGTTCAAACTTTTTTTTCTCCATGGAGTTTAAAGTACTTGTCCATCAAGCTGTCTATTTAATAGTTTCATGGGTGTTTTATCAAATGTAGTATTCATGTTAACTGAAATCATTATTTGCATTACTTTGCAGTGCTGGAGATGGAACCCAAGATGGAGTGCATGGTCATCAAGCACTCTTTTTTTGTTGTTTTGTTTGTTTTTGTTTTTCAAAACAGGGTTTTTTTGTGTATAGTCCTAGCTGGCCTTGAGCTCACAGAGATCTCCCTGCCTCTGCTTCCAGAATGCTGGGATTAAAGGTGTGCAGGGTGCATCAAGGGCTCTTGACATTGAGTTAAACATCTCTTGCTGAATGTACAAGATTCTTGTCTCTCCAAGTTTAGAATAGATTTTGGTAAATAAATAAAGTCTCGGATTTTTGTTGTTGTTGTTGTTGTTTTTTTGTTTTGGTTTTTCGAGACAGAGTTTCCCTGTGGCTTTGGAGGCTGTCCTGGAACTAGCTCTTGTAGACCAGGCTGGTCTCGAACTCACAGAGATCCGCCTGCCTCTGCCTCCCTAATGCTGGGATTAAAGGTGTGCGCCACCAACGCACAGCTGTCAGAATTTTTTATTAGATGGGAATCTCTACATATAATTCTGGGTGCCCTGGAACACTGTATAGACCAGGCTGACCTTGAACTCACAGAGATCCTCCTTTGCCTCCTGAATGCTGAGAAAGGCATGTGCCACTATGCCAGGCTGCAGACCATTTTCTGGAGGCTGTTTCCCAGAAGACAGGATAGGTGGTCTTGCCATCAGACTTATGGAGACCAGAGTCTGATTCACTGGCAGGTAACTCCCCTAACAACTAAGGCTTTTAAATTGTTTTTTAGTTGATTATTCTCAGAAGGGGTATCACTATGTAGAACAGGATAGCCTTAAACTCACAGAGATATTCCTGCCTTTGTTACTGAGTGCTGGGCTCCTTTGGTATTCACCACCACACCTACCCCCCCCCCAAGCCTCAGAATTTAAAAAGAACAAATGAATGAGTTAAAATGCACACCTGTCTGTATCATAAAATAGCAAGTACTTAATGGTTACTTGTTAATGCTGTGTGTCAGTCACTGATCATGCTAGGGATACAGATATTTTAAAAATTGATCAAACCAGGCATTATGGTTTGGTATGCCTTGGGGCAGAGGCAGATCTCTATGGATTCTATGCCAGCCTTCTACACAGTTCAGTTTCAGGACAGCCAGGGCTACATAGAGAGACCCTATCTCAAAAAAAAAAAAAAAAAAAAGCAAAGACACCAGGTATGATGGCACATACCTTTAATCCCAGGGAGACAGAGGGATAGGCCAACCTAGTCCAACCTAGTCTATAGAACAAGTTCCAGAACACCCATGGCTACACAGAGAAATCCTGTCTCAAAAAAAAAAAAAAAAGAAAGAAAGAAAAAGAAAAAGAAAAGAAGAGAAAAAGAAAAGAAAAAAAAAGCAAAGAAACCAATAAACAAAAAAAAAAAGAAATTGCATGGAGAAAGCAGACACAAATAAATGGGACATTAATAAAATGAGAAGTATGTTCAGAATGCAGTCTCTATACCACCCAGACACTAGTGGAGGCTGGGGGCAGACTTGAGCTGATATAGATGAACAGGAGAGAACTGCTGGTGGCATCTGGTTGTTTGGGGCACTAGTGCCAGAAAAGGGCAGGTGGTGAGGTGGAGAGTTGAAATGGGGCTGAGAAAATGGAATAGTAGTAGAGTCCTTCTGACTGTTTGGCTTCTTCTCCTGCAGGAATTTTTCACCGACAGCCTGTGGGGCACACTCCCCAGCTCATGGCAAGAAGCGCTAGATGGACTAACCCCACCACAGCTGGCCACCCTGCTGCTGGGAATGCCCAGGGAAGGGGAGGAGATCAGGTATGTGCAAGCAGAGGAGCCCTGTGCTGGGGAATGAGAGTACTGAGCCATGTATTGAACCTTGTGTAGACAGTCTCATTAGATCATCTTGGCCTGCTACGTCATAAGCTTGTACACTCAGGATGTGATTGTGGGCTATTCACCGGCAGCCTGGGCTGGACTATCTCAGGTACAGGTCCGTGTGGCCACTTACCCTGCTGGCCCTGAAGTCCACAGCCTGTGCTCTCGCCTTTACCCGGACACCTGGCTTTCAGACCCCATCAGAGTTCCTGGAGAACCCCAGCCAAAGCTCCCGACTCATGGCACCTTTTCGAAAACATGTCAAGCCCAAAAAGCAGCATGAGATCCGGAGGCTGGGAGAGGTGAGGAGACTGTTAAGAGGCTAGACTCTCTGAGAGCCTGTGGGTTGTGAAGGTGGGTGGCCTTTACTGCACATGCAGGAACCAACATCTTCAGAAGTCCCCTTCCTTAGCAGGCATGCAAGGATCCTATCTTGTTGGTGCTGGGAGCTCTCCTGTTTTCTGAGTTGATTGGCAGCTATGTGGGGATGACTGTTTTACTCTTGTTCACTGCAGTCAGTTTTTTGTTTCATAGCTTACGGGGCTCTTGCTCTTGATCATTGACTAAAGGGGCAAACAAACTAAACATCATCATCCTCAATTCTGGTTTGACATCTCATGTCTCTGTCACCTTGGCTCCTTTACCATTCCTATGGCTTCAGGAGTCAGGAGCCAATGCCAAGAAGAGACTTTTGTTCCCTCTTTCAGTTGGTGAAGAAGCTGAGTGATCTCACTGGCTGCACCCAGGTTGTGGATGTGGGCTCAGGCCAGGTAAGCCAGACTCTCAACATGATGTCTATTTGAGTTAGGAGGATAGGTTACCAGCCAAGGCAGATTAGCAGACCTAATGCCCTAAGAAGCAGGTGCTGAGAAGTGGTGGGGGGAAAGTAAGCCTTTGGGTCCTGGGGCGCAGTTGTCTACACTCACTGATAAGGTGACAGTCAATAGGGCACTGAACAATGCTGTCCTCCCTCATGACTCTAGGGCCATCTCTCCCGTTTCATGTCTCTCGGGCTGGGGCTGATGGTGAAGAGCCTTGAAGGAAATCAAAGGCTAGTTAGCAGAGCCCAGCGCCTAGACCAGGAGCTCCTGCAGGCTCTGAACAAAATGGAGAAAAGGCACCCAAAGGTAAGCTCCTTGCAGCCTGCCCTACAGGAGCCATGTGCTTGGCTGGAACTGTATATTAAAACTCATTTTTCTACTTCCTAGTTTCTCAGTTCGAGATGGTCCCTATTTATTTCTGTTATTCTGCCCCTTCTTCCCAGAGCACCGCACATCTCAAAGGCACTTTCTAGTTTATGTAAGTGATTTCCACACTAGTATGTTCTCATAGTAAACTGTGTGGCCAGGTGGGTATTAGTATTTGCTGTGCTAGGGATGGAACCCATTGCCCCTGAGCTGTATCACTGTCTCATTGCCAATGGGAAATGGAAGAGCTAAGATACAGCTTAGTGGTAAGATACTTGTTTAAGCATTCATCAGGCCCTATGTTCTATCCTCAGCACCACCAAAAGAAAAGGGAAACTGAGCTAGGTATGGTGGTACATGCCTATAATTCCAGCACTAGAGAGGCATGGACAGGATCCCTGCAGATTTGTTGGCTTGTTCAACATATTGAGCTCCAGGTCAGAAAGGGCTGCAAAGACTTTGTGTCACCCTCTGCCATACCCAGAAGAAAGGATAAATAAAAAGGTCTACAGTCTGAAATGGTGGTCTCAACTCCTGGTTCAGAGTCTAGCTCTCTAGTGCCCAGCTTCTCTCCCATATAACTAAGAGGACAGGCCCATTCCTGTGGCCTGAGGATAACTACCCAACTTTACATCTGTCTTTGTTTTTTCTCTCCCCACAGGTGGTGCAAAGAGGTCCCCGCCATTCCCCCCATCATGTGGTTCAGTGGGTCAGCCCCACAGCCCTGTGTGAGGAGCTTCTGCTTCCTCTGGAGACATCGGGCCAGGGTAGTGCCCGCCTGCTACTCACGGGCCTCCATGCTTGTGGGGATCTGAGTGTTGCCTTGCTGAGACACTTCTGCTGCTGTTCTGAAGTGGTGGCCTTAGCCTCTGTGGGCTGCTGCTACATGAAACTCAGTGACCCTGGCAGCTACCCCCTGAGTCAGTGGGTAGCTGGACTGCCTGGCCATGAACTACCCTACAGGCTCCGGGAGGGGGCCTGCCATGCCCTAGAAGACTATGCAGAGAGGCTACAGAATGCAGGCCCTGGCTTGCAAACACATTGCTTCCGTGCAGCACTGGAGACAGTCATCAGACATGTCTGCCCTGAGCTTCGGAGGCCTGGTGTGCAAGGAATCCCCAGGGTCCATGAACTCAAGATTGAAGAGTGAGGTCTGGGGAGGCTCCCCACCTATGCCTACTTGTTAACACAGCCAAAGAAAATGTTTGAGCCCAGAGGAGTGGCATGGACTCTTCTAACCAGGGACAGTGCTCCAAATTTCTCTGAAAGAAGTTGTCCTCTTAAGACTAGGGGTATTAACTCAGTTGGTAGAATACTTGTCTACCAGTGGCTGTTGGTGGTGCACACCTTTAATCCCAGCACTTGGAAGGCAGAGGCAAGCGGATCTCTGTGAGTTTGAGGCCAGCCTGGTCTACAGAGCGAGTTCCAGGACAACTTCCAAAACAATACAGAGAAACCCTGTCTCGAAAAAAACCAAAAGAGAATACTTGTCTAGCATGCATGAGTCTAGGTTCAATTCCTAGCACTTTCTAAATCTAGGGTAATGACATATACCTATTAACCCTAGCACTGGGAAGATGGCAAGGATGTCCCAATTTTTCTCTCTCGCCTCTCCTGTTTTTTGAGACAGGGTTTCACCTTTAACAGTCTTGGCTGTCCTGAAAACTAGATCTGTAGACCAGGCTGGCCTCAAACTCAAGAGATCTGCCTGCTTCTGCCTCCTGAATGCTGGGATTAAAGGTGTGTATCACCACTGCCTGTTGCCCAACTTCCTTTTTAACCTCTAGAAATCAAATTCCAGAGTTTTGAACATGCTAGGTAAGTAAGTACTTCTATCACTAAGCTAACTACTACATCAGTCCAATAGTTTCTAATTACTAAAAATATGCCTAAATTGTGTAGGATTGGATGAAAATAAATTTTGGGGCTGTTTGCTATTAAACAGATAGCTCATAGCCTGAGAAACATTATTAAAGTGGGTAGTGGCACATGGCTGTGACTACAGCACTGTGGTTCTGGAGTCAAGGACAGCTTCCATTTTATTTTTGAGGACAGTCTATACTACATAGTGAGACTTTGTCCCCAAAACACAAAACAGGCAGGCGTAGTGTTTAATGCCTTTAATTCCAACACTTGGGAAGCAGAGGCAGGTGGATCTCTTAAATTCAAGGCTAGCCAAGTCTGCAGAGCAAGTTCCAGGACAGCTAGGACTACACAGAGAAACCCCGTCTGGAAAAATCAAAAGTAGAAATAAAATGCAAATCAATGTAGGAATAAGCTGAGACAAAAGTTTAAGAGGGAGGTGGAAGTTTCTAGAACTAATTGTATTGTGGCTGCTCCCACAGGTATGTGCAACAAGGGTTACAGCGAGTAGGTCTAGACCCTCAGCTGCCACTGGATCTTGCTGCCCTTCGGGCCCAGCAGGCCCAAGAGAATCGAGTGGTGGCCTTCTTCAGCTTGGCCCTCATGCTGGCCCCACTGGTGGAGACACTGATTCTGCTAGACCGGCTGCTCTATCTCGAGGAGCAAGGTGAGTCCTTGGCCAGTTTGCAGGGCCTGGACACCACCTGATGAGTGGGGCATTTGTTAACAAATGTAGATTCCTAGCAGCACCTTCCCCCAGACTGGTTTTGGTTTTTAAATTTATGTGTGCACACATACCTCATGCTTTTTGGGTATTGAATCCCTTGGTACTAGAGTTGCAAACAGTTGTGAGCCATCTGATGTGGGTATCAGGAACCAGAGTATATTGGAAGAGCATCAAGTGTTGCTAGGCACTGAACGCTGTCTAGCACTAGTGAGGTGGTTTTTAAGCAAGTGTCTCAGGCATTGAGAAAGCACAAGAACACTCTCAAGCTAGTGTTCTAATTAACCCTCACTTTCTCCTAGGCTTCTATGCTGAGCTCTTGCCCATCTTCAGCCCTGAACTCTCTCCCAGAAATCTGGTTCTGGTGGCCACCAAGACACCCCTGGGTCAGGCTTTCTCTATTCTTGAGAATGAAGACATCTAGCTGACGGTCTGAAACCAAGATGCCAACATGGCTAGTACATCTTACCATTTAGAGTGCCTGCTTCCTGCCTGAATTCTGGCTCTCTGCAAACTTCGGATTTATACCCTTTCTCTCCCTTCATATGTAATTTACTGTGTAACTTTTATTTATTAAAACTTTTAAGATTTAACTCCTGTTTCTGTAAGAGGGCAAGGGGCCTCTTCCTTGTTTTTATCTCCAAACATTGCAGGACCTGCCCTGGAAAGGCTACCAATCACCCAGTCTGTCCTGACAAGACAAAAAAGCTGCACTGTGCCTGGTATCCCCAAAATACAAGCATTTGGAGGGAAGGAAGAGGGGCGGGACAGTAGCTGCACTCAGGGCTCTTTATTGGTGTTGGGGGAAGAGCAGCCTCCACCCTCAAGGTAAAGACTGAGCAGGCAGAACCAGCACTCTCAGGCTCAATACCAATAAACCTTCTTGTGTTTTCGAGGCTCCTGGATCCCCATTGCCTCCATCACATCTTCTTCTAATGTCTTTAGCCGGGGCACATAAGTTTTTTTTAGAGCATCTTCCACTGATGTGTCCTTGGGGCCATCTGTTGAGTCAGAAAAAAGGAAATGATGTTTGCTGGCTGTTAATTTCTTGCAGTGTTAGGGATGGAATCCATGACCTTGCACACTGCTAGGCAAGTGCCCTACCACCAAGCTGCATTCCTAACCCCACTAACTTTCCTTTTCCTTACACCTCACATCCCTGTCTTCTTCCTGCCCATCCCCAGCTTACCAGTCCATATTTCAGGGACAATGCCATCTGCTCTAGGAAATTCAGGTTTGGGGATAATTCTCCCAGATCTTGTAGAGACGCGAACCCGCTCTCCTGACTCAGTAAATCTCCACTGGACCTCAGTGGGTTTCCTAGTAAGTAGAAAAAATTAGTCTACCTTAGAGTTAGAGCCCTGTACATTGAAGGCAGTGGCTGAGAACACCTGGATTACCACCTTTGTTTATGCCAGGGTTACTGACAGAATTGTGTGCAAGAAACAGACCCCACTCTGACAGTTAGGCACACACTTTTAATCCCAGCACTCAGGAGGTAGAAGCGGGCGGATCTCTTAGTTCCAGGACAGCCAGGACTACACAGAGAAACCCCCCCCCCCCCCGCAGAAAAGGAAACAAACCCTGAGTTCTAACATATCCAACACACCATGCTCATGTGATAAATGAGTCTGCCCAACACCTGTGTGGCCTCGATTTAGAAGCCCCTTCACCAGAGGCCTCTGTGCTTGCCTGTCCACAGGGTCCACTAGCTTGACCTGATGATGAAGTAATGGGGCTTCACTAGGGATCATGGTCCCTCGGTGATCCTTGGTTCTGCCAATATAGCGGAAATGCTGTCCAAGAGAAGGCAGTATTAGAAAGCAATATGTGTTAAGGGGATTTACCTACTACTGCTTAGTGTATTCAGCCCAAGCCCAGTGGTACAACCTGCCCCTTACCCAGTTTCCTGTCTCCCCATGCTGCTCTTAAGGAAAGAGGGACAGATGGAGAGGACTTCTCAATTCTCTATCATCCTTCCACTCACCGTGTTCAACCCCTCCAAGACAACCCAGTTCCGCTGCCGAATAACTTGGACCACTTTGCCTTGCTTTCCAGCATCCTTGCCTTCTAAGATCTCCACCTGAAGGAAGATGAGAGGACAAGGGCAGGAGATTGTTGTCCACTAGGCTTTCTGTCTCTCTGTCTTGAGGTTCTCACCATGTCTCCACAGAATAGGTGCCAGTCTTCATCAGAGATGGGCTCTACCACCACTGGGCGCCGCCTGCTCCATGGAGGATTCTTCCTCTTGTCTGATAGGGAGCCTGGACGGCTCATCCCATAGCGGTAGTGGGGAGGGAGCGTAGCTTTGGATGCCAAGGCCAACAGGGCCGAAAGTCGCATGGTTAGATGTGAGAAATCTCACCAGTGAAAGACTCAGAAACTTTCTTTGTCAACTATGAGTCAAGAGAAACAGAATGAAGATTTGGAGTAAGGAAGGCACTTTTTAAAAAAATTTTTGTATTATGTGCATTGGTGTTTTGCCTGCATGTATATCTGTCTGAGGGTGTTGGATCCCCTGGAACTGGAGTTACAGACAGTTGTGAGCTGCTATGTGGGCACTGGGAATTGAACCCAGGTCCTTTGGAAGAGCAGTCAGTGCTCTTAACCACTGAGTCATCTTTCCAGCCCCTTGTTTGTTTTTTTGAGATGGTCTTGCTATGCTTCCTAGAACTCACTATGTACACCAACCAGGCTGGCCTTGAACGCTCAGATCCATCTGCTTCTGTCTCTTTCCCCTAGTGCCAGGACTAAAGGTGTGTATCACCACACACAACCCAAGGAATATTATCAAAGTAACAACTCTCTTGTGCAGTGGACTTCATATCATTTCATCTTCTCACAAGTTATATTTGCAAATGAGAAAACAATGAGGTTATGTATTATAACAAAGCTACTATAAGTGTGGGGGTAGGGGCATTAATATTCAAAACCCATATATCTGACTTCAAAGTAAAAAATTCACTAAAGCTGCTAGGCAGTGGTGGCACATTCCTTTAATCCCAGCACTCAGAAGGCAGAGGCATGAGGATCTCTGTTTGAAGCCAGCCTAGTCTACAGAGCAAGTTCCAGGACAGCCAGGACAACACAGAGAAACCCTGTTGGGGGGGTGGGGGGTTGAATTCCTGAGGTCAAGGGCCACACTATCTAGATCCTTGAATTGCTATCTCAGGAGAGCTTAACATACTTAAGATACTTAAGATGGTTATTAAGTGAGTACATGAACAGCAGGGAATGAGGAAAACAGTTTACAGTGTCTCCAAGTATCAGGCCCCAGACCTTAGACAAGTGACTCCATGATGGAGAAACGTCATTCAGGCCATAAAACTCAGCACATAGACAACACCACCAACCAAAATGAAAACAAAGACCTAATCCATCAAAGTCCATAGTTCTGGGAGTCTCTAAATGTACTAACCTTGCTTTTTGGATTCATAGTTCTGCTTCTGGATAACTGTTCTTGTTAACTGAAGTATGTCAACCAGGATATGGTTTTGTGCTTAAAAATTCACCTTGTGAAATGCCTGGGGCTACATTAGGATCCCACACACTCAGTGTAGTCACGAGCCAGCTAATAAAGACTTTCTGTTGGCTTGAATCTGTGTCCAAGCAGTCTTCTCTGGTGGTTAACCCATTAATACCTATCCAACTTGTACCCTCACACAGGAAAGACCCGATCCTCCCTAAGGACAGCTTTTTCTATAAGACTTAAGGACCCCAAGGCTACACTCTAAGGTTGTGGACAGATTCCTGAGATAATTGGTAAAAAGTGAGTGCTGTAAGCCAGGCCTGACAGCTCCTTGGAGACAGAGGTAGAAGGACCGCAAGCTCAGTAACTGCTTGAACAACTTTGTGAGACCCTGTCTCAAAAAGTAAAAACAGGAGGCTCAGCATTTAAGAGCACTTTTTCCTTTTCCAGAGGACCTGCATGTACTTAATTCCCAGCACCCACATGGTGTTTCACAACCATCTGTAACTCCCATTCCAGAGGACCCAATGCCCTCTTCTGGCCTCTATAGGCATTAGGCATGGAAGTAATGCATATACAACATGTAGGCAAAGCAAAAATTTAAAAGATGAATAAATCCAATTTTTAAAAAATGGCAAAACAAGCCATATGTGGTAGTGCACTCCTATAATGCCAACACTTTGTAAGAAAGAACAAAAAGATCGTAAGTTTGAGGCTAGGCTGGGCTACACAGGAAAATCTTGACTTTTAAATATTTTTTTAAAGATTGATTTTATATATGATTGCTCTATTTATATGTGCACCTTTATTCCAGAAGAGGGCATCAGATCCCACTATAGATGGTTATGAGCCACTATATGGTTGCTGGGAATTGAACTCATGACCTCTGGAAGAGCAGCCTGTGCTCTTAACTGCTGAGCCACTTCTCCAGCCTCCAACTTTTAAATATTTCTTTAAATGAGGGAGAGGGAAGAAAGGCTCTGCAATTAAGAGCACTTTTTGGTCTTGCAGAGAACATCGATAATGCCAATTCCATACCCTATTTTGACCTTATGGGTACTGGGAACATACATGGTGTACATACATAGTGCCCACAATCACTCCTACACATTAAAAAAAAAAAAAAAAAAAACACCCGAGCGGTGGTGGCGCATGCCTTTAATCCAAGAACTTGGGAGGCAGAGGCAGGCAGATCTCCGTGAGTTCGAGACCAGCCTGGTCTACAAAAGCTAGTTCCGGGACAGCCTCCAAAGCCACGGAGAAACCGTGTCTTGGGGAAAAAAGAAAAAAGAAAAAAAAAAAAAACCTAAAAATATCAATGATGAGTGAGTGCAGTAGGACATACCTTTTATCCTAGCACCTGGATGGCAGATTTCAGTGAGTTCAAGGCCAACCTGGTCTACATAGTGAGTTTTGGGCTAGCCAAGACTTCATAGTGAGACCCTATCTCAACGAAACAAAATAAAATGCTGTGATGACTCATGCCTCGGGAGTCAGAAGCATAACAATTACTATGAGTTCAAGGCCACTCTGCCCTACACAGTAACCTACAAGGTGAGACCTATTGAATCAAAACAACAAAGTAAAAAGGCTCAATGCAGAATGCTAGCCTAGCATGTAGTAAGCTTTCTAAACAGCTGCTGCTAGCCTGGTACCATGCTAAGTATCTCACAGAAGCCTAAGAGCAGCGATGAAATTGCTCCTAATCTCGTCATTGGGTAGGTGTGTGGGTGTATTTCAGAAAATTCTTAAAGCTGGTTCAGTCTCTGTAGGCCTGAGGCTCTGGAAGAAGAAAGCAGGCCCGGACACGCCCCCCTCCATCTTTCCCTGGGGTTCCCTACGCAACTGGAATACAGTAGTGCCACTTCCGCGGTGGGGCTTTCTTCTCAGTACAAGCCCTCAGGTCTCGGCCTCAAGCACTTCCCCTGTCAGACTCACCCAGACCGAGAATAGCTCCAACCTCCTAGTAAAGAGAAACCCAAGGAGGAGGACTACGCCCCAGGTTACGACTAGGAAAAGGAAGTTACTTGTGCATCCGCCTTCCGACGACCATCAGCGTGGAGCGGTCTTACCTTTCCCAACCTTTCTTTGCACGTGAGTGCTCTACTCCGGTAGTCTCCGCCCACCGGATTTCTGGGAGTTGTAGTCTAATTGCAGAGCGACGCCCAATAGCGAAGCGTGCCTCTCAGCTTGCTGGGAACTGTAGTCCGTCGCTACAAAATGACCTGAAACAGGAAATTTGGCCAAAAGTAGGAAATCCCGAGCGTGGGAGGCATGTCGGGAACTGAAGGCGAAAGATTCATAGGGTACTTTGCTTTAAATGCTCTGCGTGGAGGCCACTGGGAGTTGTAGTTGACAGAGACCATGGCTCCATTTTCTAAGTGGTTATAGTTTCCTATTCAAAGCATAGGGATCCATTTCTAGAAGAGATTACAGCCATTATGCCCTGGCTCTTCTCTGTTTGAGGTACCAGGTCAGATTAAAAAACTGCCCCACCTAATACTAGAGGAGCTAATCATTCTATATAAATTGGAGCATGCTGGGAGGTTTCCATCGTACCCACCTCCTCCCACCTGCCCTCCCACCATCAGTGGACTGGCAGGCATCCCTAGCAAAGACGAGCACTGAGACCAGATGTCCTGATCAACTCGTTCAGGACCACTCACTCACCTGTCCGCCCTGATCAGATCAAGTATGTTTTCTTTCATTACTGGGAGTCTGGTGCTGACTGAGAGCGCTTTGGATGGGCTCTTCCCTGTAAGCTGTCCAGTCTGTAATGTCAGGAGCTTTGTTAGTGGAATAATCAGTGACTAGAAGACCCTGAAGAAATGACCTTTGTTCTTAGGTTGTGTATAACTACGAAAGGATTTTTGAAGCCATCAACACCAGATGTTTGCCCTACCTCAAACCTCCACCTCTAAGAAAGCACCCACTACTGTTTGATCATCCTAGGCCTGGGATTTTCGGTCTCGCCCGAACTATCCCTAAACCAACCTCCCAGCAAGATGGACTTGGAGTCCATCTTCTCAACTGTTGTTTTATGAGATAGTGTCTCATGTAGCCCAAGCTCACTTTTCAAACTTGCTAGTTTCTGCCCTCACTTCCCAGGTGCTGGGGTTCAGCACCAAGCCTGGTTTATGTGGTGCCTCCAGACTGGACCCACCCCTAGGGTTTACTGCATGCTCCATATTACTTATTTGTTTTTGAGACACGTTTTTCTGTGTAGCTTTGTAGACCAGGCTGGCCCTGAACTCAGAGATCCGCCTGAGGATCAGGGAACTCTGCCTCCCAAGTGCTGGGATTAAAGGCTGTGCCAAAACCACTGCCCAGCCTTGTTGTGTTCTTACAGCTTTATCCCTAGCCCCCCAGATTACTCTTACTTCTAAAGGCTTTTTATTTTATTTTTTTGGTTTTTCGAGACAGGGTTTCTCTGTGTAGTTTTGGAGCCTATCCTGGTACTCGCTCTGGAGACCAGGCTGGCCTCGAACTCACAGAGATCCGCCTGCCTCTGCCTCCCTAGTGCTGGGATTAAAGGCGTGCGCCACCAACGCCCGCTTTTTATTATTTTTTATGTGTGTGTGCTTTAACTTTTTTTCTGAAACTGGGTTTCTCTGTGTAGCTCTGGCTATCCTAAACTCACTCTATAGACCAGGCTAATTTTGAATTCAGAGATCCACCAGGTGTTCCCCACCACCACATGGCATGCCTCCATAATTTTATGTGTACCAAATGTGTGCTGGTTGTGCCTGTGAAGACCAGAAAGCAAAGCCATCGGGTGCCCTGAAACTGGAGGTACAGGTAGTTGTGAGCTGCCTGTTGAGTACTGGAGACCAAACCAGGATCCTCTGCAACTGCCAAGCCATCTGCAGCCCTGCAAATGAATTTTGAAATTAAGTCCTAATTCTTGCCCTGAAGCCTTGTCTTGTTTATTGAGACAGGGTCTCACTGGGTAGACCTGGCTGGTCTTGAGCTCAGATTCCTACAGATCCTCTAGAGCTGGGATTAAAAGCGTGCGCCACCAACGCCTGGCTAGTCATGCACTTTCTATGACCATGTGTGGAACCTCCTCACACTCCATTTCTTTTTCTTTTTTGAAATACTGGCGATTGGACCTAGATCCTCAAGCATCTCTATGTATCTGGTCTCATGTATACTCCAGGCTGGTCTAGAGCTTGCTGCATATCTGCAGATGACTTCAAAATAATTTTTAGTTTTTTCTTTGGCTTTTTGAGACAGGATTTCTGTGTAACAGCTCTGGCTGTCCTGGAACTCTGTAGACCAGGCTGGCCTTGAACTCAGAGATTGCCTGCCTCTGCCTTATGCTGGGATTAAAGGCATGGGTCACCACCATCCAGCTTAAAATGATTAAGATTATCAATCTGGTCAGATAGTTTAGTTTTAGGAATTTAGCAGAATCACTGTATGGAGATATTAGAATGAACAGCTGCTTTTTAGTACTTTGACCTTGAAGAATCCTTGTGGAAAACAATGATTTCTTTGCTGAGGTGGGGTGCTTTGTAGCCATCCCATGACTTTGGTCACAAGAAGCCTCAGGCACACCTGAGGCGCTCTCATTACTGTGTATTGCAAATGATACATAATAAGGACTAGCATCATGGGGAGGAAGTGTCTAAGACATGTAAATAAGATTATGGATCTTGGTATGAGAAGAAATTTTAGTTCAGTCTACCAGAAGAGGCTAGACCTTCCTGCTGCCACATATATAGGCCTTAAAATTTCATCTTGATCTGCCTTCTTTCTTCAACAGACAGCTCGGTGGGTAAAGGCACCTACCTGCCTGATGACCTGGGCTCAATCCTGGGTCCCAAATGGTGAAAGAGAAACTGATTCCTGCAAATTGTCCTCCGACCTTCACAAAGGCACACAAAGTAAAATGTAATAAAATTTTAAATTTATGCATATTTTGCCTCCATGTATTATATGCACAATTGCCTTATACCCAGGGGGGTCAGAAAAGGGTGTTGGATCCCTTGGAACTGAAGTTATGGATGGCTCTGGGCCAATGTTGGTGATGGCAACTGAATCCAGGTTCTCTGCAAGAACAAGTGTTCTTTAACTGTTAAATAACTCTCAAATTACCATATAGTGTGGATTTGTGGGGTTTTGTTTTCTTACAAATTGTCTCTTAGGGAAAGATTTATTTATTGGGACTAGGGATTTAGCTCAGCAAAAGCCCTAGTTTCTTTAGTCCTCAGCTCTGGAAAAAATAATCTACATCTGCATGAGTACAGGCACCTGTGATACCACACACCCAGGGTGGTCAGAGGACATCTAGAAATCAGTTTCCTGCTTCCACATTGTTGTGGTAGGTGATAGGTGACAACCAGATGAGTCTCCTGTCTCTGTCTAGGTGTACACCCACACAGCTCATCATCCTGCCTCCATCTCCTGCTGAGGATTATAGGTCCCTATCCATTACACCTGTTTTATACCGAGTGATTAAGGACCAAATTCAGGGCTTCTGATTTTTACACACTAGGCAATCATCCTAGCAACTGAGGTGTGTGTCTTTATGTATATATCCTTAGCCCCTTAAACCCAATTTCTTGTGCAAGTTTTTTTTGTGTGTACATGGCTGGGGAGGGGGGACCTCAGACATGGTCTTTTGTACAACCCAGGCTGGTATTGAACTTGATCTTCCTGACTTCCCACTACTGAGAATAGATTTATGCTACCACACCTGGCTCAAAAATATGTTAGACCAGTTACTGAAGAAAAGGCTCAACAAGCAGTTGCTGCTCTTACAGAGGACTTGGGTTTTGTTGCCAGAACCCAGTTATTCACAACCATCCTTTACTCTAGTTCCAGAGGACCCAATGGCCTCTTCCAACCTCGTCAGGTACCAGGCTTGCATGTGGTGCATATATATAAATGTGGACAAAACACTCATAAAATATACCTAAAATTTTTTATTAATGTTTTAGACCCTCCCAGATGCTTGCAGTGATAGAATGGATGGTGTGGGAATGGATGCTGAGGTCCCCCTCTTAATCTGAGGAAGAGACCTTGTTTCCCTCTCTCCTCAGTTAACCCAAGCACTCAAAAGAATTAGTCAGAATCCAGGATAGTAATCAACGGCTTTATTTTCCTAGAACTCAAATTGTCTATGGTTCTCAGAGCTACACTTCCAAAGCTACAGTCAGCAATTTTTCTTCAGAGCCCAAGGGAGGGATAGGAGTAAAAGAGAAGGAAGGGGGCATAAGAAACCCCAGAAGAGGCTGGGAGAGAGCACTTTTCCCTGTATTCAGTGGGTTACAAACTGGATGTGTGACAATGCCAGAGGACCAACTCTGGAAGGACATCAAAGCCCAGGCTCCAAAGAGTCATCAACTCGAACAGAAGGGAGCCTCCCAGTGCACCTCAGAAACAGGTCAGTGGGGGGGGGGGGGCACACAAAGGACTGGGGATTAACAGGCTGGGGTTTTTTTTTCTTTTTTTTTTGTAATTTTCTTTTATTAAAAACATTTCCTAAAAAATGTGTCTTTTTCCTTTATGTCTGGGTGATATATCTGACTAGAAGCTGGCCTTGAGCATTGTGGGAAGAGGAAAGAAGGCAGCAGGATCTTCCCACATTACCCCATCTCTGACCTGAGATCTAAAGAGAGACATTTACTTAATACAAATGGATGAGTCAATCCTTCAGATTATCAACTCTCTCCAGGTCCTTGGCCCTAAGAACTTGGAAACTCCCAAGTCTTGATGTTAAACTATAATTCCTTGAACCCTGAGGTCAGGAAAAAATGTTCACCAAGGATTTATGGATGGGAGCCTCTCTCCCACATAGTGTCCCCTTTTCTTGAACTTAGGCAAATGGGAAAATAAGTGTGGGAGCAGGAGACAGGAGCTCAGGAGATGCCACTCAGAAACCCACTCAAGTTTATATTTCATCACCGCACTCCTGCCCCAACCCGGCCCAAAGGTCTAGAATGCCTGCAGAAGGCCAGAGGTGTTGAGAGGTGGAAACAGCAGTCCAGACCCCAACACAAAGTCCTAGGAGACAAGTCTAAGGAGATATAATGGCCCCATTTCATACCAGGGCACATGGCCCTGACTTAGGTCACAGGGTACAGGGACCTGGAAGTGAGGGCCAAGCCAATCTCCAAGGGTGGGCTTAAAAAGGAGAAAGTGAGTGAAGGAGGAGAGTGGGTTGGGTGGGAAAAGGATTCCCAGTTTGCAGGCCATGGCCAGTTTCCCCAGTAGCAC